ATTACTTTTTTAAATTGAATCTTCTAATACAATATTTAATTCTATATAAATAAATAAAAAAACTGTTAGACAAATTATTGTAGAAATGAAATATGGAAAAATAAAAATTAGAAAAAATTGGATTTAGTAAACGAATCATTGAAATATGAATGTCTAGCTTAGTTAACGGAAGTAAAGTATTGATTTAATTTGACTATCTAACATATTAATTATATACATTTCCTCGTTCATTAAATATGAGTAAACTAGTAAGTAAAGCCAACATTAATATCAAACTAATGATTTAATGTATGCTATATAATGTATACTCAACATATGCAAAAACACAGGATGTTAACTGTGAATGATGAACTTTTTACGACGGGTCGCGGAAAATTATGTAGCACCGTCGAAATAAACAGTGGTTTATCTACGAGTTTAAGTGCACTGCACGTTGTAAATTTATACGATCATTTGTTTAGAACCTAGCAACAAAATGGAGAGAGAAAAAAACTGTGTGCATAGGCTATGAATAGCGATGCTCTTGACACCCCGTCTTCATTCTACTACCTACTTGAAAAGGAAATTATGTGGCGTTCGTTTGCATCATTAAAAAAACATTAGCGCACGTACCTCGCATTGCATTTAGTGAGTCATAATTATGATATGAAAGGGAAAAAAGAGACAGAAATGCAATGGTTGGAAGAGTTGAAAAAGAAAAATAGTAGAAGAAACGTGCTTTTTATGCGCTTTCATATGGACATGAATCCTTTCAATTTTTAATCAGCAACTCGCTGTCTGCTACTTGTCTCTTAGTGAGTTTCGTTTATAGTCACGGTGTTATATAAAGGAACGAATGTAATGATTTGTGGTGTAGAAAAAACCTGTCTGCAGTGATAGATGAATAAGTAAAACTAATTAAATTATGCGGAAATCAATCTTGTGGTTAAAGCTGGTTACTTAGGAAAGGATTTGTTTAGGATGTAAAAGAGGGCGACGAGATTTGTTGGTTTACGTTGCTTGGATTAGAGTAACTGCTGGAGGATTCAACATGATACAAAATCCAATATACAAATCCAATAAGACCGAAACGGAATAAGTTATTTGCAAAAAAAAATCGTTGATAAAAATAATCTTAAACAAATAAGCCGAACATTTGTTAATACTTAAGTAATCTGCTTAAGTAATTAAGTAACTTAAATGAATATTTCATGTACACGACAAGTAAATTACTGTATGAATTCGGATAAGTATTGTTATGCAAAACATAATTCATTCAATGCAAATTAACTCTATTTACACAGTTATATACTCCAATAGATACAGTGCAGTTATACCTCGAATAGTACGGATAATCGGTTTCGCCAATATCCTGGACTGTTTAAAACCGGACAAATCAAGGACTTAAAAAATATGTTTATTTTGCTGAATTAAAATTGAGGTTGCTTTTAATAATTGTAGTCACACTATATTACAATACTTGTAATGTGCAGCAGACTGTAGTTAGTAACAATAAAAAAAATAGGAAGCATACTGAAACTGTAATACTTCGGATACAGGATGCGATTGATGGAACGACATGCTCTGTGTTCATCCTGCATAAAATACATCCTGATCATGTGACGCGTAGCGTGATGTTTTTGTGCGTTCGTTGGCCGTAATTTGTGTACGTGACAATAAAACTGAAAGAGGAAAAAGAAACAAAAATGCATTGAAAACGGTATTCCGCATTCGCGGAAAAACCAATTAGCGACCTTTTGTTTACGCGTCCGGATTAGATTACGGTTTATCGATCTGCGAATGCAGGATTCCATACTGAGAATCAATTAGGGGCGGGTCGGATCAAGTGGAGGAGAAAAAAAAATTAAAATTAAAGTGGAAGGAAGAGGCTCTCCGTTGTTTGGTTTTTCTCGTTTTTCAGCCACCCTCTACTCCTCTTTTTATTTATTTTTGCAAAGGGGGCGGCAGAACGAGGGTAGACGGGGCTGTTGCTCATTCTTGAGAGCGAGACCGAAACCTCCCTCACTCTTAAAATCTGAGGGGGGTTGTTGGGCGCGACACGTGACCCGACGCTGAGTCATCATCATCCTGCTGGACCTGCAGGATGGAGGATGTTTTATAGCGGGGTGAACATCCGGCGCGCGCCATTTGGACGGCTGCACGTCCCGATGTTACACAATTCAAGTGGGATTCGAAGTGGACGAGGCAATATTTACACGAAAATCAATCGGTGATTAATTCATTGCTCAAACAATTCGTGGTAGTCGGGTTTGGTTCAAGAAATACTCGGATGGTAGGACAAAGCCATGATCAACACATGCAGATCAAAACTTTCGAAACTGCATTAAGTTATTTACGTTTGTGAAACTGGTCTGCATGTTGATAACCCTTTTCTGGAAATACTACATCTGAAGTACATTTTTAACTTTTTTTCTGTAACAAACGCCAGATGGTGCTGATTTTATACAACTTTGAAAGTTAAGCAACACGCGACAGATAATCAATTTAGGAAAAAAGTAAATAAATATTTTGCTTAATTAACAAATTGTTCCTGAATATCTGTCCGGGAAATAATATTTATATAAAGAATAAAGCAAATTCCCGGGCGGGAAATCCCGGAAATGACCCTCCTCTGCAAGTATTGAAGAAAACCTACTAAAATTTTATGCATTACAAAATTATCCAAAATTTCGAAGAAAACAATTGATTTGATCTCTTCAAATGTGGAGAAGTATAAATCAGTGTTTCCTATCCCGCTTCTTCTTTCTCCACCACTTTACTAACTTGGCCTGTGCCGCGCACAATTACGCCAGTTTCCGCTGCGTGCGTGACATGTAACAGAGGTTAGGTCTTTTCTACAGCTGTCACCTTGTCTTAAAACGTCAAAAATTTATGTTATATTGGGTCGTAGTACTAAATAACAAGAAATAAAAAAAAGTCACGTTTGGTCACGCGGCAAAAAGGTTGAGAAACGCAGGTATAAATCACTTTTAATAAAAATTTGGTAAAAATATCAATAAATTGTAAACGCAAAGTATTATATAAGGAGGAAGGACGATAATTAATTATGTAATATATAGAAAATAACAATATTAACGAATTACTTAAATAATCATGTAATCGAATGTAAAGAAACATGATTGTTGTGCAACTGGAAGATGAAATATCAGCATGAAAAAATTGAGCAATGCATTGTTCGAAGATTTCTTAATTTCAAACAATATAATGAACATATTTGTACTGCAATAATATATTAATTGGGGTATAATTCGAGTAAATCCATGTAGGTGAAAATCAATTAAAAGTTTTTTCTGCTTTGCGTGCACGAAACAGCGGTTATATCAGAACAATAAAAACAATCTCGAGAAATACGCTTATGTAATGCAATAACAATTATTGAATAGCCACCAATAGCAAGAATGATGATGATAAAATCACCCCGCAATTAGTGAAGCAGAATTCTCACATCGAGGAAACAATGCTGCTGTGTGGGGGAATGTGCATCTGTTGCTTCCGCATTTTCAATCGCGGCCCAACTTCATCGACCCCTTGTATATATATATTCCTTCATCGGCAGTAGTATATTATTTCCGTCTTCTTTTCATTTCATTTTCCTTTTTCCACCTTCTCAAAAACGCACACGGCAACTTATTAAATCGGTCGTGGTATATCGTGCTCCATGCGATTCGTGAAAGGTTGCAACTTGGAATCTACAGTTCAATCATGAAACAAACTTGTATGAACATTTTGATTTATGCCAGAGCTTGTCCCATATTTCAGTTTTATCTTCTTTCTTTTTTATTTTACTAAATGTCACATTACTTCTTCATGCATATCTGTGACAGGTTTAATGACAACTTACTGGTTCTAAGCAGGCTATCGTGTATAAAACTCCAAAATAATGATAGATTAAACTTGAGAATAACTTCATTTAAGATGGGTTTCATAAATTGTTCTCCTTCATATAATTTCAATGAAAAATTAAAATCATAGTAATCAGGGAGATAATTTGAAGTGAAAATGCTAAAATATTTACAATTATGTTTTTGATGCAAATATAATAATAGCAGTTTGTCTTCAAGTTTTTACTAAAAATAAATTTATAACAATTTCAATGTAAGTGCATGATGTTATCAAACTAATTTAAAATCCTTCTTGAGATTACTTTTGCAACTTAAAAGTTGATTACATTAATAAAACTGAGTACATTCTTATAAACACTGCAATGTATAATTTAAAACTATAAAATAGTAATGAGATTATTTACCATTATAAATATTTAAAAAAAACTTGCAGAAATCTGTACTGCATGCACTTAAATAATTATCGTTATTTAATTTGTGATGTACGATAGCAGATTTTAAACTTTTGCGCCAAGAGTCTTTTTAGTATCAAGGCTCTCAAATTAAATTTAATATCCTTTTTGATTACTTTGACATTAAAACGTTAATTATACCCATAAACTGGTTAATATTGTTCCTAGTATATCTATTAAAATATTCAAGTTGTTCCTATTTTTTGAATTTTGTAATTGTTATTTTTTAATAAATTCAGTATGGAATTTGGAATCAGTTTCGTAATGAAAGACTAAAATATTATTTAAATATAGTACGCTATCATACTTAGTTTCTATGCTTGAATTAATGGAATAATATGAAACTTTTAGCAGGTTTTTATATAATAAATAGTTGAAAAGTGATTCAGCTTGAGCGAGATTGCAGCCCAAATGGATAGCAGGTGTTCACGTTGCAGGAGAGAATAGAGTCGGCGGAAGCCCGTACCCATTTTATTTTTCACGTTGTTCATTACATTTTCGCTCCCGTCACCATTTCACGGCGGCAACAAAGTTTATAAAATCTGGTATCGCGCGCTTCGACGTCGAATATAAAAGGGCATTGTGTTTATGGGTAGACAGTGAAAGCGAGAGAGAGAGACTTGTCATCGGAACAAAAGACGCGCCGTCTGAATTTCCGTGCATAAATGGTAAATAATATTGCGGAGATAAACATTTATTCACTCACCCGTTGGGTAAATGCGCCGGCATCGTTTGAAGCCTCCGGGCGTACAGAGCGTTTCCACCCTCCGACATGTAGCCGTCGCATATATCACCCCGGCATTGCGATGGATTACGGAGAACTTCACCGTCCGATAGGTAGCCGTTGGTTAGGGAGGAGATCTCGCAGTAGTCGGCGTTTCCACCATCAGGTTGCACTCTGGGGTAGTGTCTGGATCGGGCTGGGAGAGTTAGGGTGCTGCAGTAGCCTCTGAGGAGAGGCCTCATGGGTTCTACGTCTCCTAACGTGTCCTCTTCCGGGAGTTGCGCGGGATCTCTGTTCAAGATTTTGATTTCCGGCTTCGGTGCTTCCGTGATGTACTCCAAGGGGTCCTTGCGGTTGGGGATGAGGTTGTGGTGTTCCGATCCGCTCTCGCTGGATGGTTTGTAGATGACGGAACTCTCGGAGGAGTTGCTGTGCTGTCCAGTAGAAGCGCTGTGGCTGCTCTCCGATAAAGGGTTGTGGAGATCGTTCTTCATAGGCGACACAATACCGATGGCAGGTTTCGTTAGTGGTGGAGTCATGCTTGCTTGGGAACTCTCCCTCGATGGAGCTGTCGACGGGGACTTCATCGCTGCAGGGGATTTATCTTCGCGAGGCGGTTTCGTCGTGCCTTTGACGGCGGCAGTGGGCTTGGGGATGCCCGTACTTGGCGTCTGCAGAGTGGGCATCGCAGGTCCTTGGGTCTTGGCGCCCACGTCTTTGTTGGACGCAGCCGACACTTTTACTTTGGGCTCCTGCAGCTTCGACGCAGACAGACTGGCCACTTTGTGTGCGTGCTTCTCGACTTCGATCTTCGTCGGTTTCTGATTGCCGACCTCCTTCTTGTTGGCGCTGGGGCTGCTCTTGGTGGGGGCGTTCTTCGTGGGTCGCTGCTGCTTGATGCGGCTATTGTTGCGCACCGGCTTGATGTCCGCACTCGGCTCCAGGCTAATGCTGCTGTCCGACCGTTCGCTCCTCGCAGAAGACACGCCGCTCGAGCTGCTCGTCCTTTTGCCAGTGGTTGACGCGGATTGAGGCTGTCTATTGCTATCACCGGATTTGAAGAGCTTCAGCTTGTCCAACATCGAGTTCTTGTTTTGCGGTGGCGGCGTCTGGTAGGGACTGCTGACGGTAACAGTTGTCGTCGGTGGAGCTCTTGGAATCATGGATAAAGCCGGACTGGAGGCCCTGCTCGAACCGGCCACCGGTCTCACCTTGTCTGGGGCACATCTCCTCGATGGTAGGGCCGAACCTGGCAATGGTATGCTCGTGCCCCCTTTATGCGGGATCGCAGTTGATCTGAAACGATAACAAACAGTGGTTGTAGTGTTTACCTACTTATGTTACCCAGATCCGAATCCAGGATATAATTGCATTAACTTAAAGTGTATTTTTGTATATTTGTGCAATAACTTTTACTAATCATATATAAAAATTATCTCCGTCGAATTTCTTCAATTCTTGACTCTTGATTTGAAATAATACAAGTATCAAATTTAATCTGATTCACTTTACATTACATGAAATTTTAAATTATTTCTATCTGAAATTTAATTCATAGCCAACCCTGCGCACCCCTTAAAATAAACTGTACTTGTTGCGATAAGAAAAACCACTTATCGCCACAAACGAGTGAACGTCGTTCGCTTCCCCTCAGTTTCATGGTAACCCCTGAATAAGCATCACTGTTTACAAACACCAATTTTATATTCCGCGGTCTAGAAAACCACTACGAACAAGACGTAAATATACACGCGTATATTCGAACAGAGTTCACCACTGTCGGGTCTTTAAAAAATTCATATAAATACGAGGGGAATATTTTATTTGTATTCGGCTTTCAACTGATCTGACAGCTTGTAAAGTAAACATTTGGGAAAGAAATTCTAAAAAAAAAGTTCCTTTACATGACTGAACCACTGAATATGTTATGTAATTTTATATGATACTTTATTTTATGTATTTTCTATTTTTTGTTAAAGTTACATACATTTTTTTTTTTCCAAAAGATATTTTCAGTACTATTGATTATATAATGTTTACAATAAATATTGTTTCTGTTATTATTATATCAAAATCTAATTGCTTTCACTATTTCTAATCACCAATAATAAGTGATTAATTAAGTATATAATATGATCTAATCAATTTCTACATATTTGAAATTTGATAAAAGTTAAGCAATTTGTATTATTTGAAAGGGCGATTTTCACATTATGTTGTTGTACACCTAAGAGTATATCAAAAGTTTCTCACACAAGGTGACAGCTGTCATTTCATTACCCATTAAAAAAATAAAATCTGTGAATGCATTAGATAATTTAATTTAATAACCTTAATTTATAGAAAATCGACTGAAAAACAATATTACGAGATTGAATTTATTTTACTATAAATTATTACAAAATTTAGTGGAAAATAATCTCGCGTTAGTTTATTAAATATTTAATTAAAATAAATTATTTTTATGTTAACAATCAATCATTCTTTGAACTCTAATTACTTCAATTTTGTTAATTAATTTTCATGTCCACTAGTGAAGCATTAGGAATCGCTTTATGTAACTGGAAATACCCAGTATATATTTTTTTTAGGGGAAATCGCACGCTGAAGCTGACACAGTGAAAGGGTCTACCAAAAAAAAAATATATGAAAGGGAACAGGATCGTGAGGGCGTTCAAATATTCTTTAGCAACGGCTGTCACTAGTCTGCGTCGCTGCTGATGACTCATATGGTTCGATACTAGACGCCATTCACACAATAAACCGAATTCCTTCTCTGTTCGTTTCAGAGAATCACTTCATTTCGAAGAAGCTAAAGGGCATTTCGAGACAGCTCACACATCAAGCATCTCAGCGTTACGTTTCTCGGTAATTATCGCTGCGATAACCGGAAGAGTGGATAATTCAATTAACTAATCACTAAACACTTTATCGCTCACCATTCGAACGAATCGGTGTGGTCTTATCGCCACCCGTCCAAAAGCTGGACAAGCCAGATTACTAATACAAGACTTACGCTTATATAATAATCACTCCTCGTGCATTTCTTTTCGAACGTTAAAATTAATTACTATGTGCGTAATTATAAAAGGCAAACAAAAGGCAATTTCATTTTAATTCATTCCTCACTATTGAACTTCCTTTGTAACGGGTCATTTAAGTTTTGACCGCTGCGTATGCATCATAAACTTATTAAGCATTCAATTTCGATTTCATTGAAATGACGATTTTTGTTTGTTCGTCGAGTGGAAAATAAATATCGAAATTAAACAGTGGTACTAAAAATAAAATTTGTATTGAATCGTTTTTCATTGTTGATTTTTTTTTAATATGTGCATGAATGTATAGTTTCAAACGGTGTGATCAGATTTTAGACTATCGAATTACGTGAAAGGCGGTGAGGGGAAACGAGGGTCTTACCCTAGTCGGAATATTGAATAGGGTCCACTCGGACTTTTTAATAGTATGGAATTAAGCCTTTCACCATTATTTTCCTTCGTTTAGTTGAAGCGCGCGTGACTCTCCTGGGTCCAAGAACTCCCCCTTCTTTCCTATGCACAATTGGAAATTCTCCAATGCACAAAAGATACTTTGCACAAATGCTTGCATTCATTCATAGAGCGTTTTATTCAATTAAAAACCATTATTATAACAGAAAATATTAAACTTTTAAAAAATAAAAATACTGGAAAATCATTAATAATTCCCGAAATTGTAGTTCTAGTTAATATGTCTTCATATTTTATTTACTAAAATTGATTGTTGTTCCAAGAATGTAATGATAGTAGTACAATTGAATTATCTCTCATCAAATACTATAATGATCGATTTAACCAATATCTACTGCTTATTGGAAATCAAGTTTCAATATTAATTTACTTATTTTAATTGTAACTATAGTATATAGAAACTTGCTCATATTCAAAATATTAATAATAAAATTTATTTAATAAAAATGAGAATATTTACAAAAATTAACTATTAACAAAAAGAAAATGAATTATTGGAATAGTCTTTCTCAAATCTAACATAAATTCAATATATTTTTTATAAAAGAGAATTTAATATAATGAACAATAAAATAGCAAATTGACATAATCTAAAAATCATAAAAGGAAAACTGTTAAAGAAAGCAATGAAAAAAAAAGTTTAGCAGTTTGAATGTCACATGTATTTACTTGTTTTATTGTTTATAAATCGATTGAATTAATAAATAAATATTATTCATTTAATAAACACGACAAACCTCGAATAACACGGTAAAACAAAATAAAACGGATCTTCGTATAACACGGTCAAAATTTCACGACACTCTTGTTAAAAACGGTACTTCAATTGCATGTATTCTTTGCATATTTTTTTTCACAGCATTACCTTTCAGCGTTGAGCTAAAGTTAGGAACATATTTTAAAATAAAAATCTGGAACCGAATGTACATTTGTATATGGATCTAATAACACGTTTTTTTTTTAATAGCACGAAACTAAATAATCGAGTTTTTTTATTTTATTTATAAATTTTTGCTTCTTGCAAATATTATATAAAAAATATGATTGTGTAACAAATATTTCTTCCATTTTATAAATATCCCTTCAATAGAAATATTTTTTTAAAATTTTTAATTATTTAATTTTTTTTTATTAATGTCAAAAGTTTACTAAGAAATACAATTTTATATTAATTTGAATCATTTTTTTAGTGCAAATATACAGCAAATATTTAATTTTCGGTTAATGATATTGATTTAAATCTTAAGTTTTTTTGTTTGTTTAAATGAATAAAATTGTTTTTAAAAAATGTGACACTTTTATGTACTTAAAGGCGAAACTTGTTTTTCTTAGGAATTTTGCAGGCGTTTGGTTCACGCAATTTCATATTGTTTAGTCAAATGTAAAGGAAGACAGGAATCTTATAGCAACAACAACAAAATAACAGAAATATTCTAAGTTTGTGCAATCTATTTTTGAAACACCCTGTGTATGTGCAAACAGAGGGCAACCCTCGGCGCCGTTTGATGTAGGGAAACAGGAGGGTCCGTTTACAAATCGAATCACGACTAAATAAATACACCGAACGCGGCTTTGAAGAGTTTCAGAGTATCGCGCCGCTGCCGAGCTTCTGGTGATTGTTGTTAACAGCGCGAAAGGCGAATTGGAAAGCGAAGACAAGAGAAGAGATGCTGTTTGGATGTGTGGGTGAGGATCGTTGGAGGCGAAGAGAATTGTTGCAAAATAGATGCAGAGACAGACACACACCTTCGCACGTCCGGAGAGTTGGGCAAGGATCGGGATTTCCTTGTTGCCGAAGAGCCGCTGTTACCCATGGCGGATCCTTTGCCGCACTGCTGGAAGTTGGGCACATCCAACCAAATATACAGATACACACACACGCACGCCGGGGCCAACTGCTAACTACACTACTGCATGCACTCTTCTCTCGCCCGAACGCCCTTTCTCTTCTTCGCAGACCCGTCCTTCCGTCTGTCCTCCTCTGCCACGACTCTGCTCTTGCATGTAGCAGCAACAGCAGCATACAGCCACCACCGCCAAACACCCCAAACAACAATGGGTGAACGTCATCTCTGTCCCCCTCTGCACACTCTCTTTCTACCCATGCACACGCTCTCTCCCCCTTTCGATGCGATAGCAACCGTAGCTTCATCCAGACATTCATCCCCCATGATCCCACCTCATTTGCATACCAAACGGTCATTACATGACATTGCATGCACCTCTTCGAAGACTTCTTCATGTGAACACAAAGAGATTTCAATGATGGATAGCCGCGCTCGATTGACTCCCTAAACCCCGCTAAACCACCTTAAGCACTTAAAACTCTTCTACACAAAAAAAGGACCATCTGCAGCATTTTATATCAACTTGTACAAATGTAATGACAGTCAACAAACATTAATAGTAATAACAAGAATAAATCAATTTATGTTTTGCATAACGTTTGTTTACAAATAAATACAATTAAAAAGATTAACTTCATATATAATATTTTTTAAAGACTTATATTCATGACTCATACTAATCTAATAACAGACATATACAGGAATTGTATAAAAAGTAAAAATTACGATTTCAGTTATCAATAAACAGATTGATAACAAATGTAACTAGAAAAACATTAAAACTAATAAATTTTGATAAATTAAGAATGTTAAGCATCTTGTAATTCTGATACTACTTGGAACAAGAAGAAACTAATAATAAAGTATGCTCAAGGTGACTGTACTTTAGTATATCCGCAGGATTAGATTTTTGTATGCAATATCTTAACAAGACATTCAT